TTTCACAGCATAAAACCTATTTTTTGAAATTCCAAATAGTATAAAAAATGTGCGATTGATAATCAATGCATTACAGAAAGAAATATTGTTGTTATTATTATTTTTCTGCAAACAGGCCGGCTATGTGCCACTCAGTGTACAGGTCCTCGAGAAACGAATCCGTCCACTCTCTATAGATAGTACGCTACAATCTCCTCCATGACCAGGAACCCCGGTAAAATCCTGGGTACTGCAATAAAAGGAAAACAAAATTTATTAAAATAAATTAGATGTCTAGATCGACACCACTCAGACAACAACAACTTATCTCACCAAATAAACTTTGGAGCAGTGACTCCCTACTGCTCCCCCAATCCTCCATATTTTGTTCTTCGGGGAACCACTACTTTCCGTATGTTGAATTATATAATTCGTATGCAGGCATTTTTGCGTAATGAAGGTGTTTCGTTTCTAGAGTACAAATATCTTCGGAGCGCTCAACACCCTCCTTATAATCCTGCGACAGTGAGCCCCCTTCCAATGATATCAATTAGCACAGAGAGCGAGAGATTCATTGCCAAGAGCAATTTCTTATCTCAAGAATTATTCCTAATAAGCCGGCGATTGAGTTGTTTTGCTCGTACCACGAAGTGAGAATGAATGACTCGTTAACTTATCCTTGGGAGTCTATATGGGTCGGAAGGGCGATGAAGGTCAACCAAAACAAATATGAATGACCATGATCTCATATTAGAAACGATTACTTATCTACTAATTATGTAATCTTTCTGACCGCTCCGGTCAGAGGATTATAGTCTACGATGCGATCGTGAGTCTGGATTAATTTTAACCCCACGTATACAGAACTGTTGCAGAGTAACGTGTAAAGGTCCTGATGTTGAATCGGAATTCTTATCTCATCGCCGTTCCCAAGAATGGTGTCTCCGTACGGATTGTACGGAGAACTTTAATTTTGGTGATTCGATTTTCAAATGCCGGGGTACTCACAACGTTCAGTATATCGCTCATTTTTGTTATATCCCGGTATTGAAATACTTTAAATCCCAACGATCTGAGAAACGGTGCGTTCGCGGGAGATAGTCACCGCAGCAGCAGGTTCGACGGTCTTATCGCAGGTCGCATGTAAGTTACAAATAGCGTTATCATCGTACACTATCATGCTATGATAGCGCTCACTCGCGTCGCCTCACGTGCAGCCTCCCGGTAATCTCTTCTCCACGGAAATTCATGAGATTACCGTCTTGGTCGGTGACGCGCAGCGTCAAGTTGTTGACAACTCTGGCTGTAACCGGAAGGTAAATGACCTACGGCGGAGTTTCGATGATTTTATACCCCGAAAGCACTGGAGCTGAGAACTTAAGAAAGGTGCGCACCAACTCTTTGTTGCTGTTCGAATCGGAGATTACGATGCACTCCACTCTTACAAGGGAACATTCCCAAGTGTCCGCCTCCGATCTTATTGAGTTTCATATATGTTGAAGAACACAAAAATCTAAGAGACACGTGTTTTTTATATCTGCAATGGTCCACAATTAAGGGGGGAAACAACCCCCCAAAGTTAAGCGAAAAATCGGTATTTTTAATATTTTTCGTAGGAGCATGGAGGGATTTCGACGAAACTTTGCATAAACGTATTCTGTATAAGGACAGTGACAACACAATATTGTTCAGCAATGTTGCATTCCCTCAAGGGGGTGAACTACCCTTCAGGTGACATTCTTTTGTAATATCCATTAAACAAGCACTCCTACTTAAGTTCCACTTACGCGAAGTGATTGCTCGCAAAAAATTACGAAATCAGGTAATGACGCCTTGAACTTATTCCTTTAATTTATTAACTTGTATACTAATAATGATTAATGCGATTAAAAAAATTGTAGAGCATTTTAAAACGTGGTTAAAGGATGTCCTCTACTCTAACATTGGTCATCAAAGCATTCTTCTGCTTGACTCCTGGAGCGGACACTGCAGCGATACAATTGAAAAAACGAAACCGACAAAACATTGTGGCAGTGATGATACCAAAGGGAACTACTGGTAGAATCCAACCTTTAGATGTCTATGGTTTTCGAGTATGGAAACATTTTGTGAGGCATTTTTCTGATATTGTCCTTTTACATAATTATGACGTTAACCTTCATGTACGGAATGATATCATAAAATTGCAATCACTCGTGCATAATCAGTTGTCTTCTCTTAGATATAACAGCCTGTTTCAATATGCATGGTTTAAAAGTGATTATATCGATGAAAGATTAGAAACCTTCCCGAACCCGGTTAATTTTGCCTTTGAAAGCTGTTCAGATATGAAATGTAATGTTTGTGGTGCAGCAGCAATGATACGGTGTTCTTGGTGCAAAAAAGCATTTTGTATAAAGCACTTTTTCCACGAATACCACTACTGTAATAAATATGATCAGTAATATTAAATAATCTCCTGCTTTGTAGAAAGATGTAAAAAATATTCTCTTATAACTTCCTGTTGATTAATTTCAGAATTAATATTTATACGCACTCTTGAATGTACTAATCTCGTACCTAAGGTACTGTAAATATCGCTGACTATTTTTTCGTAAAAACAGTGAAAATTTAATTTTATCGTTTCACCACGGATATTGTATTACTAGTTGGAAATGTGTGATGACTGCATCGTCGAATCCGTTGCGAAACAATTTTAGCCTCTGAAACTATTTTTTAATTTATTTATAAATAATTGCATGTTATGAAAATCAATGACATTTTGAAGAATTACCATGATGACACGACTTATGTACGATGAATTGGTCACGATATAACCCAATAAAGGTAGTCGGAATATACCCTAATACCACCTACATTCATTGTTTACAACCGATGTGTAAATGTTTATTGGCAAAAAGCAAAAAACGTATTTCGTAATTTTTTGAAAGCAATCACTTCGCGTAAGTGGAACCTAAGTAGGAGTGCTTGTTTAATGGATATTACAAAAAAATGTCACCTGAAGGGTACTTCACTCCCTTGAGGGGGTGCAACATTGTTGAGCAATATTGTGTTGTCACCGTCCTTATAGAGAATAGGTTTATGCAAAGTTTCGTCGAAATCCCTCCACTGCTCCTACGAAAAATATTAAAAAAACCGATTTTTCGCTTAACTTTGGGGGGTTGTTTCACCCCTTAATTGTGGACAATTGCAGATATAAAAACACGTGTCTCTTAGATTTTTGTGTTCTTCAACATATATGAAACGCAATAAGATCGGAGGCGGACACTTGGGAATGTTCCGTTGTTAGGGTTTTTTAGGTTTGGTAGGATGTTTTGTGGTAGGCTGTTATTCACTTGTTTGTGTCACGATTCTTCTATTCAACTGTAAAAGCTCGGCAGATCGGAGGCAATCACAATGATAGAGTCCGAGCTGTCTTTCACAATCGAAAATAGTGTTAGTTCCTGCTTCAGAGTTGTCGTATTGACAAGGCCGAAGGTACGGATCTACACTTCTTTTGTACTCTTTTTCTCTGAACCTGCCTCGATTGACTTCTGTCAATCGAAGGTATGGCTCTTTTCTTTTTCTTTTCTTCTTATTTTGCCGTTCTAATATTCGTGTCTTTGTGAGATGCTGCAGTAGCACAGTCCTAGGATTGTGTTCGAAAGGACTATAAATTAGGGATGCGATGGCTACCACAATGGCAGAGATCGCTGGGGTTGGGATTTACTTTGGAATTTTTTCTTTGTAAATTTTATTCCATGAATAATTACTACTTCCGGTTTACTCCGGTTTTACTCCTGCCTATTTGAGCTTTCCAAACATATGTCCAATTGGGACTTGAATTTATCCTACTGCTATTCGATTTCTAGTATGTCTATTCCTATTGATAATTGAATCTAATCTTTCTTTTAGAATTTGACTCGGTGTCTCCCGGAGTCTCGCGGCCTCTCTCTACTTCTCGACCTCTTCCTACTTCTCGGCTTTCTCGCACCGCCTACTTCTTCGGGTATTGTGCACGCGTCGATTGCCGTCGATTTCGGTATCGCGCAGGCGCTCCCAATTCGCCCCGTTACAATATATACGTATAGTTTGTATAAAAAATATATATATTAGCAATATTGCTAATGAAACAAAATTCTTTATCGTGTACCCGAAATTATTTGCGACTTCATTTGATACGAGACGCGATCATATGATTATTATAAAACAAAATATCTGATGTAACTATGTACGCAATAGTTGCCATGTGACTCAAGTTACATACACATCGATCTACACTTTTACGTATAATTTCATTTTCTAGCAAAATTTAATATAGCACCTTGGTATTCTGCCAGTCTTTTATAATAAAGAAATTTGCCTAACCGAGGGTTAATGTCTATTAATTTTACATTACATCTTTTTCTTGGCTTGATAAGAAAATTAGGCAATAAAAAGTTAACTTTTAAATTGCTCATTTACAGTTTTGGGTTACAGAAAATGAACTGCACGTTATTAATACACCATCCTCCACAATTTTATACGCCTTTTAAGTCATATACGTACTTTTCAAGTCTAATTTCATTTTTTCAGCAAAATTTAATATAATTCCTTATTGTTACATCATCAGGAAACTCGGTAGAGTTTCACGCCAAATACATTAAAAAGCATGTGCGTAAATAAAAATGTTATACTTGCAATAGTACTATTTATGTAATGTTTTACAATTTCATTTTTATCATTCATTTCTCGGCTTAGAATGAAAATTAGATTATAGAGGGTTAATTTATGAAATTTCTTGTTTACTTACAGCTGGTCGTGCGAACATTGCGAAATATCTCTCAATCACAGAAACTCAATCCGGAGGAAGCGAATGCTAAACGATAAAGCACGAGTGGCGGCGCAACTCATTTCTGACAGAGATGAGTTGCGCCACCATTGAGAGTTAACAGGTGGCAAGTACGTTAGCCGCCCACGTCAACCATCGGAGGGCAGCACATAACGCGATCACGCGACCCCCTGCCCGTGAGCAATCTCTCAACTCATCTCTGATTCTCTCTGCTCCTAGTATTCGTGACCCCCTGCCCTGGATCAAATTTAGTTAATTCTTGGGAAAAGATGGCGGACATTTTCCTTTCGGCCCGCGCGTTCTGCAAAATTATTTTACATGCAGCAAAATATCCTCACTGTGCGATTAATGGAGTTCTGCTGGCACGACAGAGAGGAAAAGGAGATGGCAAGTCCGCAGAATTACACATCGAGGACGCTATCCCACTTTTCCACATATGTCTTCACGTCTCGCCTATGGCAGAGATCGGCCTTACCTTGGTACTGTCATGGTTTTTACTATTTTTTCACGCTCTTACAAATCATTTATTCGTCTACTACGTAAATGATATTTTTAAGTATTCTAATAAAAGTACTTTCGAGGATACATCTTTAGTTTCAAAATTGAATGTTGTGGTCATATCATTTCATTTATAATCCTGCTGCCCACTCGTTTGGAATATCGGGTTATCATAAATGTATTTCTATCTCTCCCAGGGATTTGGAAGATGTATTGTTTTGGATGTAGTGTGATGAATTACAAATCTGAAACATGTCTGAACATATCATTGTCCTGGATAATGTTATTCAATTGATAAATATTTCCCAAAAGAAGTTTACTTAGATTTCTATTTGTATTTTAAATAAAGAGAAATGGTTCATTTTTAATATATTTACACATGTTACGTTACACTGGTTTTATAACTATGGGTGTTAAGTCACGTTACCGCTGTGTTATGCCAATGTTTCTATAAAATGAGTAAAACAGTATTTATGTGGCGTTTAATATCAATAATTATAAAACCTGTGAAAGGTAGCATATGTAAATGTACTTATCGTCACATACTGTAATAGATAGCTGATTTTTTTCAGAGATCAATGTTTTTGGTTATAATATTTTCGATGAATTAATCTTATGGAAAATATGTTATTTGCATTATTTAACTTATTCATCAGTTTATAATTCATTAACTTTCAATATTTAACGATAGGGTACAAAGTTCCTACTTTACTGATTGAATTTTACGATTTTTAAGGTTGCGCATAGAATTTGAAAATCAGGAATGCCAGCATTAACAATGCTTTGCAGACTGCTGTCATATATGATTTTACCAATCCAGGATCACATACGTGATTTTGCATAGTTTGTAGTTATCAGCTGGTATCACTTAAGTGGGTTACTGGTTGAGTTGTGTATTAGTCAAAGTGGATTTAAAAGAGAATAAAATATTATGGGGAATAATTGCTTATGGGCCTGTTTTATCTAATGTTTAACAGATAATTTAAGATAAAAAAAGTTTCGAAAATGTTTAAAAATGGCAGAAATTTCTGATTTTTTTTTCATGGTGTACATGATTCCAGGAGAATGACGTGACTAGAACGAAAGAATAAGGTGGTTCTAGAAATGATCGCTTAAGAACTGACTCCACAGATTTTCAATGAACAAGATTCAGATTCTAGTTTAAAAAAAGCCAATAGAAATATACTTTTTTAAATTGATTTTTAGGCTTCAACCTTTGATTTTTTAAACAAGGATTTCTGCAAAAATCTGTGCCATTAAGGTAAAGTGAAACACGTAGAGATTTGATCGACATCAGTTAAAAAGATTCTTCCAAATACTAACGTTACAGATGTTCATATTTATATTGACAGTTGTGCCGAATTATATTCAGATATTGTACTTAATAGCATGTTCCATATGTCGTTTTCATAGAATAATTATGAAGAAATCGAAGTAAAACTCCAGAAATCCCTTGGATTCATGGTTTTTGATGCGGTAATTGACTGCTAAGTGTTACCCTGTGCCATCTGTAATTTCAATGCCAACTAAATTTTCCTTCGGAGACCTTGTCTTACACCTTCGTTTTAGCAAAGAAGCTCGTAAGAGACTTATTTTGCCTTTATCCTGTTTAATTGCGAGTTTCTTGATTACTAGAGGGTTCTAAATTATTGTACAATTGTCCTGACACTTTCGTTTTTCATATTACAGTAAGCTGAATTAAACAAATGTCTTTCAAAAATTCAAATTTTGAAAGTGTCAGGACATTTTTAGGTTCTCACAAGTCATGTGTCAAAGTTTCAGACAGTTCAGTCCAATTCCCTTAAAAATAGTATTTATTCAAATTGATTGATTTGAAGGGGGTTTCAGTTCATCTTAATTTTGCAATCATCTTTTCTGGTTTCAAAAATCTAAACTTTCTTATTTCGTTTTAAGTAACTTGTTTCAGACTTGCAGCTTTTATGGAATCATATAGGCTAGGAATAAAGAATCATAAATTTCCTGCCTTTATAAGTTGGCCATTTAGAAACATTTAAAAACTTTTTAGCTGACAATCCACATAGAATCACAAATAAAACAGTCCTTTAAGCAAATATTTTTATACCTTTTTATTTTCTTTCTAATCTAATTCAATTAAAACGTATTTTACAAGTTATTAACCCCATAAATATGACTTTACACTATCAATTGTAAACCAGCATTATAAATTTAATTAATGGTCGCAATTCTTGCCTCAACAAGAATATTATTATTGCATTATAAACGACTTTAGAAAACATCAATAACAAATGGTGAAATTAAAGCAAAAGATGTTGGCAAGAGGCCAGAATCTTTAAAGAACATGTGCAGCCATTAAGTGTTGAAATTAAAAAAATTGCTTCAGATTGATTAGTATTTGACCCTTAGCTGCAAAAGGTGTGTACATATATACCTACACATTTGGCCCGTTATTATCTGTATGCGGTCACGATTTTTGACCACATGTCAAAAGAGCTTAGCAGTGAAAGAGTTAATAATTACAATATTTATTGTTATTTTTATTTTAAATCTTAAAAGGAATTGGCATTATCAACTTGACAATAAATGTTTGGTTAATTACAGGGTTATAACAATTGAATTAAAGATAGACATTTTTTAATAAATCAATCCCAATAGTTACGATAGGCTATTTTGAAGGAATACATTATGATAGATGTTTGAAATAATTGATTTCGATTAATAAGTTTAAATGATTATTTTTTATTCCCGAAACAATATCCCATTGTTTGAATGGGTAATCTTTACTGTTTAATCAATTTAGACTAAGGGTAAATTTCGATTTTTTTTATGAATTATACAAAAAAAAAATGTATAACGTGTTTCTCAAAACAGCAGAATGTCAGTGGCATTAATAGCATCAATGATTTTTATCTGGTTGACTTCAAACTTTCACGTAATTTTTCTTTTTATATGATTGAGGTTGATATGTCAGAGTGTTGGGATATACTTCAAATTGGGTGTGTCACATATATCAGAGATGAGCGGGGAGATGTTTAATGCTATTGTTCGAAAGTGAGGCACGGCTCACTGGCGCCCTCTTCGCCCCTGTAAAAGTTGGAACTGCTTTCAAAGGGACGAAATATTCGTGACCGGTAAAACAGTACGTTATGAATGAAATGCTATCTCGCGGTCAAAATATGAACTGCTTTCAAAAGGGCGAGAAGTTTTACCGTCGATAAAAGAGTATGGTCCGAATTAATTGCCACCTAGCGGTCAGAAGGCAAACTGGTTTCAAAGGAGCGAGAACTTACATTATCGGTAAGGATATCCGAATGTAAAGCTTTCAAACTTGTGATTTCCTTATATTGACTGAGTATAGAAGCAGATATTTTAGAACAGACTCTCTTTATTAAGAAAGCCGCAAAATTAACAGGAGTGATCTGTCAATCTCATTTTCATTACCCCGACATCCTAAAATTCCTCGGTCCTTAATTGCAAGGGATGTTTCTTGAGCTCCGACACAAAATGAGAAAAAAATTAAAATCAATTATTTGGCGTACATTAATATCGAGACAGTTCGGAAGGTCGATGTATCACTTACGTTTGAGAGCAGGAAACACGACCCGACGAGGTCCTGATTGATCCCCCCCCCCCCCCCCTCCGTGTGTGGCGACACTAAACAGAAGATAATCGACTAATATTACATTAATAATGAAACAATTACTAGTCATATTAATGCGTTCGAATTGTCACTTACACTTCACACTAGGGATTGCAATATCGGACCAAAGTTCAATACCGGTATTCGGTATTTTTTAGATCTTAATACCGGAATACCGGTTTTAACACCGGTAGTAGGAATTTTAAAAGCGAAAGAAAACACAGATGTTTCTTTGTTTTATTTGCCAGTTTTATTAGAGTAAATATCACAAAAAATTTGTAACTTTTAAATTATAACAGTATAACAAGAATCACAAAAAAAGTAAAAGAATAAGGAACATTTATTTAAATCACAAAAAAGTGTACATATCACTATTCAGTCCATGATATTATTACAAATTTTTGAAATGTGATCTTAAAAAAATATAATGCATCAATTGTACTGTCATTAAGCCTGGAACGTAATTTTGTGCAAAAATTACCAGCTGTCGAAAACGCTCTATCAGCATCTACGCTAGTTGGTGGAACTGTTAGCAATGCGCGATATACTTTTTCCAAGTTTTTACCTCTAAATCCCTCATCTTCAAATAAATCAATTTCTCGTCGGATGGTTTTGGAAATAACTGATTTCTGTATTGTATTTTGGTTTGTTGAAATTTTTTTAGTTATTGTTAATTCTAATTTTTGTTCAAGAGACAATTCCTTTTCACTATCGACATTAGTGTCATCATCATGTTCGATAACTCTACCGAATTCTTCTGAATGTGGATAGGTTTGTGGGTAAAAAATTTTAAGAAAATTGACTATAAACTTGATCAAATTGGAATTGGTTAGTTTCTTTTCTTCTTTTTTATTTTCATTTTTAAAATCATTATAATTATGTAAACACTGTAGGAGATTTTCTATTTCGGTATGCCTTTCTTCTGTGATTTTTGAATGTAATATATAATTCTTCAGATAGTGACGTGCTGTTCTTTCAGTGACTGCAACATGAAATTTATTGTTGCATTAGCTGTTAATAAATTAGAATCTCTCTGACATAATGCCTCCACAGCCAGTTTTATTGGAAGTAGAGCTGATACAGTTCTGGATATTAAGTCGAATTCACTATCGTAAAAATTAATTTGCAGGTTTAAGTCAATTATTGCTTTTTGGATTGGATTTTTCAGTTTCAAAAATCGTTCCATCATTAGGAGTAAACTGTTCCAACGTGTTTTAGAATCTAATATCAACATATGTTCTGTTTTATTTTTAGTTAGTATATATTTTTGTAATAAGGCATTTTTTGTAGGGGAACGTTTAAATATTTTAACAATTTTTCGAACTTTATTAATTATACGTAACAATTCTTGATGAGTTAATA